GAGTGATTATCCTCCGTCCTACGTGCAGCAAATGAGTGAGGGAGCGAGAGAGAGCGAGAGAGGGGGGGCTCCTTTTGAGATTTTTGAGCGTGCCAGCAACAGGTATGAACCTGTTTCGCCAGTTTCAGCATTGCCTCCTGGCTAAAGGCGCAAATCTCAAGAACATACTGACAGAAGAGGACACGAGATGCAATGCGTAGCGCTTGGATACGCGATTGTGCATGGTTGAGATGCGCGGATGTGGAGCGAGGAGGAGCAGGAAGAGAGAAGACAGTGTATACGTATACCTACATAGACCACTCGAGACGAGACGAGACGTTGGCTGTTTCGAAGGATTCGGTCGTCCCTCGATTACAGCGACTCGCTCGTAGACTTTCCTAAGTTCCGACTGCTGGGGAGTCATCTGTAATTTTGCAAGCAGCCCAGCGAATTGCCTTTCTTGTACCTCCCGGATCCTCACTGGCCCGAGAAGAAGTCGAGGGTTCTTTCTGTGTAAGTCGGGGCAACCGATTATCTAGGCGTTTCCGTAGGCACAATTCCGCTCCTAGAAAATAATTAATAATAATGTCGATAATTGAATCTTGAATTAAAATGGACGCTTTGCCCTTCCGTTATGCTCATCAGCATTCACCTGCCATCATGGGCCAGGAGAAGCCAAATGATTTCTCTGGCAGACGTCAGGACGACTGCACTCTGGTGACCTGCTTGGCTTGTTCCGCCATGTTCCCGCACGACGTTTGCTCATCAGAAGATTCTCCCTGGTCTTTTCGACCAAGTGCGCTTAAAGTGCTTAAGCCAGACGGCGACTCCTCCTGATTTTTCGGATCTTTGAGTGTCGCAGTGTCCTTGCAATCTTCTAAATTTCAAAAATGTTTTCAGCCACGTGGAGAGCATCTTCCAGAGTATGGATCCAAGCGGCCTGGGGACCATCAGCCTCGAGCAGTACAAAGCCGGGATGACCACCTTAGGTATCAGCCAGTACGAGTCCGAACCCATGGGGCATCAGGAAGGTCGAGTCAACAAAGAGATCTTCGTCGGGGAGGCGTGAGTCATCGCACGATTATAGTTTTTCGAGTGCCCTTCGTTGTTCTTTCTACATCTCGGCAACGTTCTACAATGTCGTTGCATTTATGTACTGTGACGTGATTTTTCGAATCACGGTCCCAAGGCGGCTCCGGTTACCGATACAGATAACGTTCTCGATTTCTGGTTCCCTTCGGGTCGCCACCCTGCTCAGAAGCTACGCTCTCGGGTTGATTCGTATAGTTATGTCAAGGCTCTCGTGAGATGTCGTTATTGTTTAGTTGAGGTCGAGGTGCTCGAATCTGCCGTGGGGAGATGGTCTCGACGTACCGAGTTGCCCGGCAGAGGAGAGTACCCGACGGAGACGTCTCCACGGACCGGCAGAAACCCGGGTGAAACACCGGCGCCCCGCTGGAGATGGGCAAAGGGCTGTAGAGCGGGCGGAG